CTTATCTTGATTTTGATGAGGAAATCAATAGTAATATGTGTTTTACTACCAACTAGTCTAACAGAAACCCCAAAGTTAAGTTCAGAGTGCTCCTTAGTGATGCTCCGGGGATGAATTTACTCTCTCCTGTTCTGCAGATCAGTAATACTATGATATTGAAGGTAATGCTGTGCTACAAACAGCTTTTCTTATACTCAAAGAAAAAAAAAACCAACAGAACTTTATACATACAAATGGTTTTACTGTAACATTGCCTGGTCTACTCAGTCAACATTCTTTCCTAACATTCATGTTGAAACAGAGTTAAGTAAAGATTCATGTTGTAGTGGTGACAGGAGGAGTTGTTACACAAGATGTAACGTTTCCCTTGGATTTCATGTCACGATTTTTTCTCATTATTTAAACAAGAACTACATTGAAGTGGTGCAGGTACCAGGCAATAAAGATTTCCCTTGGTGCTGACAAACTCTGAGACCGCAAATGGAGGTGCTTACATGCCGCAAGAGATATTGCATAATGTTCTTTTCCTTTAGGCTAGGGATTGCTGTCACAAAGGAAACATCTTTATATAAGAGCTACTATTATAGGGAAAAAAGCATTTAGTTCTCATTATATATGAAGATTTCACTTCCAGCATGTTTTATTCAGTAACGTATGGAAACCATTTCTAAGCATGTAGCTTTTAGCCTGCCTTATTTATTAAACTGCTCTTGGAATTGCTTCAATTATTGTCAGTAATTCTCCTTTATTATTTAGTGATACCCAAATACAATGAAGAGAATATGTTGTTTGTTTAAAAAAAGAAAGGAAGGAATACATGTTTTGTGGAGAGATCTGACAAAGCTTTTATATACATAAGATACCTACATATTTGATTTGTAGGTAGTTTATCATGTTTATTTGTAAGGGTTTTGGCAAGGAATTTTATTTTTTTTTTGTGGCTATGGGATGTTAAAAAAGAAAGCAAACAGGAAAAGAATTTTGCTGGAATGCTGCAGTTCATCTGTGGGTCACTGGCATGGGAGTTGAGGTGCACATGATGTGTTAATTGAGAGAGGAAAAATTGGAGACGGGAATTGATTTAGAATGGTAGGTGTCTGTATCAGGGAAACAAAACACAAATGTAACCCCCCACAGCCATATTGGTCAAAATACAGGTAAGGTCGTCATTGGACAACAGTTGGGGAATTTCACCTTTTAGGGGATTGGTAGCTATTTTTCTGTATTCCCTAAATCACTGCAAGATGATTATATAAAGAACAAGAATATTTTATATTCACAAACAGACTGCTTTTCCTTTCAATAGTATGAAATAGTGTTTGAAGTACAGTTGATAGTGGAAATGTCATTACTCAATATCCCTTTTTTTTTTTTTATTTTGGAACTTCTTTCCAGTAAAAAGGTCTGAAACGAAACTTTCTACTGCATAAAAAATTATAGTAGCAGAAAGCTGCTGCTTTTGAAAATGAAAATCCTGATTACAAGCCACAAAAACTGACCTGTTCTGATATTCTTATCACATTTTGTTAATTTTTTAAAATTTTAATTAAAATAATTCCTGAAATGTGAACATTGTGAAAGTTCTTATTCTAAAAAGCCATTTTGAATACAAAGCTATTTTAAGCTGAAAAGGTTATGCTGCCTTGAATGACTGAGACTAGTGGTGTATATGCTTTGGTGACTGGTTGCAACTGCAGTGTGAGCCTGGTTACTGCTACCGTGAACACTTATGAACTCCTTTGCAATTGCCATTCTCCAAGGAAAATGTCTGGACACAAGGCACAGAAACAAGGGTAGACTGACAGCTGAAAGGTAGATGGGTAGGTGGAGTACCTGCTACTGCCTTTCTCCTCTCTGTTGCCTGTTAGGCATTCTTTTGAACATGGACTGTTGTTACGCTACATTAAATTTTGTTATGACTCAATTCCTACAAACTTCATTCCTTTCACTGTGATTGCAATAAGTTCCTGTCAGCCTGACATGACAGGGTCAAAATCTTGCCTGGCAAAAATTTTCTTACTGTCCTAGCCTTGACAATTTACTTTGCTGAAAGATCTGCTTTTAGGAGTTTTGCCCCTAGTAAGATGGCAGAATATAGAAAAATTCAACAAAATTTAACAAAGTAATTATGTTCTTTGCCATGTGGTGCTGCAGGAGCCTTCAAAATTCAGCTTTCCAGAGGTGATATGTCTCTGTTTGTTGGAATGATATATGGATATATTTATAAAATATTTATAAAATTTTTGGCACCTAAAGTTTTCCACTGACAACAGGTTTTTTCTGTTTTTGAAATGTGCTAAATATATAGAAGTAAACTTACTGATAGCAAAGGAAGTTTCTAGAAATAGCACCCTGTACCATTTTGAATGTCTGGTCAAAAAATATTTTTTATATGCTTTAGCCAAAGTGTTGATTTATGGTTTGCTAATTTCAGCATGCTGGATTTTTGCTTGGTCAGGTACAGAGTTCTGTACCACCTCTGAGCTTAAAAGTCATGCAGTTATAATTGTTATCTTGGATGATATTTCCATCAGCATGTGGCTACTATGTCTTTGCAATGGAGGTAACCTTGGCTGAATAATGAATTGAAGTGGGCATCAATCACTAATGATGCTGCACAGAAGATATATCAGTGGATTTGTAAATGTCATCGCCCAAAGAAAGACTGTATTAAAGGACGAGAGAGGTTTCATTTTCCAAAGAAAATACTTTCTCTAGGATTAGTCAGAAGTATTTGTTTAAAATTTTACATAAGTTCCTGAGGTCCTTCGGGAGCTCCGAGACACAAAGTTCTACTTTAGCATACCGATGTATTATATGGACTTTCAAAAGGATGAATTTTGGATTTGAAATATGAATTTAATCAGCTTGATATTGAAGACTTGAAGTCATTCGTTCTGAGGACATTTTATTATAATCCACCTGTAGGCTAAAAGCAAAGACTGCTATTCCTTAGTGATTCCCTGCTCTCCTAGTGCAGATTTGATTTATTTTCACAAAAATTGTTAAAATACTGAGCTAAAAATGTATTAAAACCAAGTGGATCAAAGTTAGGTGTGGTCTAATAGATAAATTACTGCGCTCTCAGGTGCTGGGCTGCAGTTCAATCCAAGACATTTGACTCAGGTTAAATTAATTTCGTGGTCACATCTCACAGAGCTTAAAACAGTGGGATTTTCTGCTTGAGAAAGGTGGGAAATGGAGCTAGCCTGAATGACAAATCATTTCTCACATTTAGGTGGTCTTTTCAGGCTTGAACTTATTTTGAGGGAGAACTGAGAAATACAAATGGTCCTACTTAAGTTGTCCTTGGCTTCCGAGTTAAACAAAACAAAACAAACTTGTCCCAGAATCCTGCTTCTCTAGTCAAGTGTGTACAGGATTTTGAGGCAGATGCTCCAAATGTTACAGTTCTCTCTATCTGAAGAATTTGCTCATTTCTATACTCCTTTAATTACAGAAATGCTCTGCTTAACCTATTAAGTTCTTTTAGCTGTTATTAAAGATAAAAATGAACAAAAGGTATTTATTCCTTTTATTGTGATATTTGCCTGAATCATGAAAAATTAAATACATCTGAAGAATGTCCTGTGTCTACTTTTTGAGTCCAGATCTACTTTCACAAGTGTGAATTAAACAAAAATGGAACTGGCATATTTTAGGACTTTGTTCTGTAAACCTTAAGAATCCTTGTATGTTTAGTCATTTAGGTAACTGGGCCTGCTCTCATGAGTAATGACTGTCTGCCTCTCTACTTAATGTGGTGTTTGCCAATATTATCTCTGTTACTATATTACAGATCACCCATTTTGGCAGTATGAGTATTAAATTTACTAATTAAGTTCTGTAAAAGACAAAGTGATAGGTTCTGTGTTTTGTTTCATAAGGTCTAAGCATTTTTATTTAGCTGCCTTTCTCCCCCCTGCCCCTCCCTTTTAATTGCAAAATATTATGGTCCTAATCAGACATGGTGAATAGATACCATTTTAGGACATATTTTGAACATAAATCATTTTTGGTCATCCAGCGATTGCATCTGTTTTGACTGATGGTTTTGTGTTTGGGATTAAGTAATGGTTGCTGTGTTTGGGTATCCACATGCTTCTGTTGAGATAACCAAAGCACAAAATTTGAAGTTAATGCTGGCTTCTGACTACATAATACAGGACAGTACCTAATTTAGCATAAACCCTACTGATAAAAACTTAATTTATCAGCAGTTTCTGACAAAGCTTGAATCATTAGAGTGCATTTATGGCAATCAACACTTTCTGTCATTTTTGGTCTGGTACTAAAATGATCAAGGCTGGATTTTCTGTACTGTTGAATCATTACCTTAGATCACAGCTCCACTATGAATTTATGCTGGTCTACTTTCTTTTCATGCCTCTGACTTCTGTTGGTGTACTTGTGATGATATGTTGGATCAGATTTGGGAACTGATCAGGTTAAACTAATTTAGAAGAACAAAACAAAATTAGTTTTAACTTGCATCAGTTCCCTAATCAGGCTTCTTGTGTTACTGCATACGTGCCAGGGTAAAAGAAGGGTATTGACAGAAGTAACAAGCAATCAAAGGTACTGAAGGAGGGAGTACTTGTTTCTGGGGCAGTGCCAGCCATTTGCTGATGTAAATTGTTCACATAACCGCAAACTTAGAGTTACAGTGGATCCCAAGCAGTGCCAATGGATATGGGTAAAATTGTGAGTGAAATGATCTATATGGAATCATGAACTGATAATAAAAATAAGAAGAAAATGTGCTGCTGGATCAGAACGAAATTTAATTTTTAACTGGCATTTTACTAAACTTCATTTTTTTCATGAAAATTCTTGTAACAGTAATAGAGTGAAATGGTTCAGGAAAAAAATTGCATTCTTGTCTCTTTATGCAATTATTCTTAAGATAAACAACCTCGTAATGCATCTCCTCCCCCTCTTTTCTTCTTCTTGATTTTATACACTATTTTCAAATTAATTGAAACATTACTTTTTTTAAGGTTATCACCAACCTTGGGCCTCTGGAGTGGATTCTTAATACTCCCAGTCATCACAGAGTTCATCATGGTATGCTAAAAGCACAACCTCTTGTTCCTCAGTGTGTTTTTTCTCATGGTCACTATCTGTATAATAATAACAAGACTAAAATTGCACTGTAAAATTAGTTTTACAGAAGGATTGTAATTTTGATCATTGTTTCAAACTAGTCATTGTTCAGTTAGAAATTTCACAGTATTTTAAAAAACTTTTTTATAACTTTAAAATTTTACATTCAAGGTTAATTATTGAGCAGAAATTAAGCCTGGATAATGTGAAATAATTTGAAGACTTTGAGCAAAACAATTCAACATTTGTAAATATGAAGAGTGATAGAAAAATATCTCATCCTTCCCTGACTACTAAAACATCATCAACTTGTCAATCAGTAACAGGTGCTTTTGCATTCAAATTCAAGCACTGAACATGTGAAAAGACATGGTTACCTTTTAGAAGAAGAAGTGTTAAATGTTTTAGTGGAATTTGGTTTCAGCTGCCTGAGTTATTGAAAAATCTCACTTCACACAAGTGCATGATGATTGACTTTTCATCAATATTCAGAGGCATTCAAGACTGTACTGCATATGTAAATTGGATTAATAACTCCACTGCATACTGAAAAATGTCATGAACACATCTGAGGAATAGAAGTGGATTTCATAGATGCCCTTGGCTCATTCAGTGTGCAGAGATAACAAGTAAAAAAGTAATAGGGGAATGGAAGAACAAAATAATTTGAAACAGACTCAAATGCAGTTATACGTACAGAGGATGTTATTAATATTTATTATATCCTCCATGTGTAAAGTGTTTATGGCACTGTGTAGACTTTTTAAAAAGACTGTGGTGCTGTAAGTGTCTAATCCTTAAAATTTGCACAAGTACTGGTAATCCTGGAGGGAGACACTTTGCTCTTATTTGCTCTGCCGTAAATCCAAACTAATCCTCTGATCCTGATTGGAGTTAAGCAGAATCACCCTGGAGCTGATCAAGTGCTGTACAGTTGCTCCAGACAATCTCCACAAACTTGGGGATATGTAATCAACGTTTCTTTGCTCATACTTTTGATAGGACAGCTTATATACAAATACATGCCCTAGATGAATAGAAGGATGAGTTTTCCTCACACTGAAGTTAATAATAATAATGAAGACAGGATCAGACATATGGCACAGAAGATAGAGACAGCTGAAAGCCATTAATGAGATGATTGCACATAAATATATTTAGCATATATTTTCTTAGGTATAAACTGGTGAAATGATTTTTTGTTTGCTTTTTAATTTGTCTTTATAAATATATTTTGAATTGAGTTTACTCTCCAAACGAATCCTTTTATTTCACAGCAATTTGGGGTATGACATGTTTGATTTGTATGTTTGAATCTGAGTAGAAAGAAGACAATAAGCCTAGTAAGAAAAAAGAACTTCTATAGATGTATAAGGAATGGTAGGTTAACTACCTTTTAAATTTATTTTTAGATTATAAATTGATGCTAATGATGAAGATTTCCGTTCATAATCCAGTTGCACATATTCTTGTATATGCAATTATTGGTCTCATAAATTATTTTTATTATAGGTAGAAATCCTTACTGCATTGACAAAAATTATGGCGGCACACTCATTATCTGGGACAGGATATTTGGTAAGTAAAAAAAAGGTTTTCTCTCTCATGTTTGGTTAATGTGGCAAAATATGTATACTTTTGAAACTGATTGTTGCTTGTTCTTTTTTCTTCTTCTTCCATCAGGAACATTTGAGGCAGAAGATGCAAAAGTTGTATATGGCTTAACACATCCAGTAAATTCATTTGATCCCATCATGCTCCAGGTGCTATAGTTTGTATCACTGACTGGTATCTTCAACAGGCACTCATGTTCAAAAGAAACTCCTCTCAGGCACAGTTGAGGCCATCCTTGCATTGTTGCACAGTCAATTAAATGATCTACAATTTTTTAGCATTTTATTACAAAACGATTATTAGTACTCACTGCATTGACCGTATATGCAGAGCTTGTAGTCATCACGAAAATACAATACAGTAAAATTAACAACTAATTACAATGGCAATATATCAGGCCTTGGACTGAGTGTTGTCTATTTTGCCATATGCAGAGCAATATGCAGTGAAACACAGACAAAAATATCTATTTTTGTCTGTTTGCCTTCTCTAAATATTGCTATTCCATAAATAATCCCATGGTGTAGTATCTTTTCTATTTTTCTCTCTTCTGCATATTTGCTGTTCAAGGTACTCCAGAATGATTTGTGTTGACAGCATTATATAGCAGTCATCATGGTCTCAACAAAACCTCCAGAACAGGTTGAATATAGTTTTTTTAATAAAAAGGAAAAGAAAAGAAAAAAGAAGAAAAAGTACTTAGCGTGGTGCTTCTCAGATTTATTGGTCCAGGCTTCACTTAAGCTGGATAAAAGTTCCCTGTAAAAACCTCAGGGACTGAGGAGAGTTGAAGTCCCCATTTGCTTTTCATGACTGTTCACCCAAGAAGGCATCTCAAAGAACAAGAAATTCTACCTGCAGGGGTGTCTGGGCTGGAAGCTGAAAGGATGGCCACAGCCTGTGCAATTATATCCATTCCAGTAAGATACCGGATAAGTAATTTAGTTATTGAGAGTATGTCATGTCAAGGTCCCAGTAACCAAATTCTAGTTTAAAACTACCATAAATATAACTATACAGTATACAGTTGAATACTCTGGAGAGGCGGATTTTCCTCTAGGCAGAAGTCATTGTAATCCTCCCTATAAACCAAGGGCTTGATACAGCTCCTGCCTCTTTCAGTCAGGTTTTCTGAACTTCTGACTGTCTTCATCTATTCCTAATTTATTCTCTCTACAGACTTTGAAAAATCATTTACTTGAGAGCTAAAAGTGAATAAAACATAATGTTTTATTAAATTTTATTTTACTAACAATGAAAAATTACTTGCTCTTTTTTTCAGCTACGTCCCTTGGCTCATATTTGGAACACGTTTTGGGCCACACCTGGATTCTGCAATAAGCTTTCTGTCATATTCAAAGGGCCAGGCTGGGGACCAGGCAAACCTAGACTTGGCCTTCCTGAGGAAATCCCAGTGGTAAATAGAACATGCACAGGCTTTCAGTTTTGTGTAATTTACTTGGACCTCTTAATGCTACTGGATCAATGTTAAAAACTCTACGCATGCTATTTTAAATTAGCAAATTAGCAGTCATAAAGCATAGGGGAAGATGAAATGGGAACAGAAACTGAAGGAAATGAATGTTTTAGCTGTGTTTTTTCTTTTTATTTGAAGGAAAAAAGTATATTTTTTATTTATCTTTTCATTATTCATTTCCTGAAGAGATTTTAAAAATTGTTCTATAGAGTATGGTAATTTCTCTTTTTCTTTTAGCTGTGAACATACACAGAGAGTTAAACTCTGTCTCACACTAGGTAGTACATAAGTTTGATTCTAGATTATCTTTGTGCAATTATCTATGTCCCTTAATCTTTTTTGTGTTTGTAAGTATGAAGAATACTAAGGAATAACAGGCTGGATCAGGTCACTGTTGAAGGCTATTACCTGTTTTGCTTCATACAGATCACTGGAAAAGAAGTTCCCTTCAATCCAAGTATACCAGCTTATCTTAATTGCTATGCAGTTGTACATTTTGCTGTAATACTGGACTTGTATACTGAACTTCTTGGTACCGTGACTGTAAGTAATTCCTTTCTTTATAAAATAGCATCTCATGCTAACAGTAATATGACACACAACAATAAAGTATTGAGTAGAGGGTCTGCAGCCTGACTCATATCTTATTTAAACTCTTGTAATAATAACAAGATTATGTAAAAAAACCCAACATAAATGGCTAAATATATAATATAATATTAAATATATAATGTTTGTTATCATTTATTAAACAATATTTAATAACCATATTAATTATTTTTATATTAATATGCTTAAGTTAGGCAATTAAAATAAAAAATAATAAATGTTGCACAGAAGACATATGTGTCTCCTTCAGTTGTTAGGACCTCATGAGAGGAAAAATGTATCTCAGGCTTGAAACTATGTAGGTTTTAAGATGTCAAGGTTGGTCATATTGTGTGACGTCAACAATGTCCAAGCTTTAGAAGGAAGATTGCAAAGGCCTTGTGGTGCTTGCAGGTGGGAAGCTTGGTGTCAGCATGAGTTCAGAGTCGGAGGAGCACAGACTCAGTGCAAACCCTTCTTCCAGTCTTGAACATACAGCAGCATTGATAGAAATACAGCAAGGAGAGGCATGTAGTTACTACCTTGCGTTTGGGCTGACAGGATCTCCCTGGTAACACGATGTGGTCCCTCCATGGATACCTGGCAGTCTCTGAAGGTGATCTAGGAGGCCATCTCCACCTACAAGAAGCGAGACATTAACTGCTTCCACGGCTTCACACCCTTCCAGCCTCCTTTTCATTCTTCCTTCCTTGGCAACTCTTTCTGTTTTACTAAAGCTAAAATCTTCTAGCTATGAAACCTAATTTTAATGCATCTGATATTCCCGCAAATGAGTCAAAGACCTACCAAAACACCACAGAAGTCTATCAGTTTGATAAAACACCCCTTGGCCACCTTCTTAAACCCTTTCTAAGACCTCCTTGGTTAAAAAGCAGTCTTCTTGTGTTTGTGTCACCCACGTTGCTACAGACCTGCTGTCTGTCAGGGTGCCGAGGGCCCCCTGGGTTCTTCAGCCTCTGCTTGCCTGCGGACCTGCCTTCTCCCAGCACGCTCACCTGGCCATCTCTGCCCCTCGGCCAACGGTGGTTGCTGTCCCCTGCCCACCTCGATGGATGCTGCAGGACAGCACCCATCCCGCTGGGGCCGTGGCCCCGTCCGCTGGCTGCCACTGCCCGCCCCCCCGCCTTCCCCAGGGTGCAGCCCCTGGCCGCTGCGCCCCCACGCCTTTGCCCGTGACCAGCACGTCTGAATCAATCCAGCCAAGAGGCAGGTTTCTAGAAATAAGTCTCTCTTGCGTATCTGACCGTGGTCATCCAGGAAGGATTCCAGAGGACCGCAAAGCCATTTCAAAGGGGTCAGAAATCTTGTCCAAACGTTGACGTTTTGGTCTTGCAACTCAGACGTTCCTCTTGCGTCCCAGGGCAAGAAGGGCAGGAAAGGGACTCTGCCTGCAATAATTTCTTGGGATATGTGGCAGCAGGCTTATAGCAGCTCTGCACATACTAGCTGCTACAGCCCTTATTTTATTTTTTTTTCCCACATTTTTGGTTAGATGTATTCTGAGTAGCACATCAGCCCAGCAGAATGATGCGATTTTTTATTAAAGTTTAGAGTATTTTATATAGCATTCCTGATATAATGTGTAAAGGCTACCTCAGGCATACTCTTCTGATTAATACAAAGTTATTCTACACATCGTGTTCACCTCTATAAAGGGACACACTGGAACTGCAGGGAATTTGGAGATTGCTAAGCCATCTGAGGCTTAGTCTATTCTAAGTAATTTCTGAGAACAGGAAATTAAGCCAAAGATAAGGATAAATACCTCCAATGTATACAAGATATACACTATACATGATTGCCGATGTTCTTACATTGAGAAAAGCCTCTGCGAGATTTTCCGGCTATGCTTCTAGATTCCTACATACCAGAAGCAAGTCATATTTGTGTAGGGATCAAACTGCGGGTTTTTTGTTTGGTTGTTTTTTTTGGTTTTTTACTTTGTTGCTGTTGCTTTTAGGAGCAAGAAGTAAGGAGTCTGCTCATGATTTTTTTCCTATTTTTATTCATTTCTCTTTTTGCCTTTTTCTGGTCCTGGAAGGAAAAATGGATGGTCCAAATTATTTTCTCTGCTGATAACTGCAGCTGTTTAAGAGTAAGGAATAAGGGAAGTTGAAAAATGCACCCAAGCCCAGATGATCATTAAATTCTTGCAGTCATGGAGGAAACATCCTGAAGATCCACCATTTATGAACTTATTGTGGAAAAACAACTAGAAAATTCCCTGCACAAAACTGCAGGGTAATAAGGTAGTAAGGATAAGAAGGGGAGAGCACAGGGGACGAGAAGCACCTCATCTCAGGACATAAACCTTCAGCGTGGGTGTAGAAAGTGCTGGTCCCAAGGCAGAGTTCCAGCATTGCTCTGCAGTACAGTGGGGAAGCTGTCATGAGAAGGAAGCTTGTGTATGAATAACTTTACTTGGCAAAAATCTTTCTTCAATATCAGCTTTCCACTACACTGAGTTATGAAATGTCTATGGATACAACTGGAACTTTCTGTCTGGCTATGAATTATGTCATAACTGTGGCATAGCTCCATAAATGGAGAAAGCTAACTGTTTTCCTCATTTTTAGGTATAAGTTCCATTTCATAATAGCCATAAGACACAGCACACAGCTATTACATTTCTCAAGTGATTACAGTTGCTCAGTGTTTGGTCTCACGCCCTGTAGAAGTGTTAAATTTCTCTATTTGTAAAGAGCAACCATATACCTTCAATCTGAATGACCTACATTTAGCTTATGAAAAGAGCAAAACAAGAAAGAACAAATATATATTTTCCACAGGAGAGAGCATACAGTGTTTATTTTCAATATAGCAATCATCTGCACTACATCCAGAGAATAAAAATTACTTCTGAGCTCTCCACATCTAGATCTGATCCAAAGCTCATTGAAGAAATGGGATTTGGATCAGTCCCAGAGAGAGTGCTAGGAGTGTAAAACTGCAGTACATTCAAAGCAAAAGTCTCATAGCTCCAGAACTGCATGTATCACATAAATCAAAGTGAAGTGTACTTTAAACACATCTTGCAGTGTCTTTTTAATTGTTGATAGATACTGTAACTTTTACTGTGCTAATAATGCTATGAATATGTGAGCAGTTTCAACTAGATGAAAAGTAGTAAGGGGTAAGATAGATCTCTTGAAAGCTGAGAACACAATTAATATATCCATTCAGTAGGACATCAGCAAGTACTGTATATGGAATATTGCTAAGAATTTACAATTTTTTTAGGAATTCTAAGTTAAAATAAATTCATACAAAGCCACCTAACAATACAAATTTCATAGCATTGTATTAGCATTCTTCATTTGAATGTCGAAAGTGTCTGATATATGACAGCAGGATATCTGTTAACTTATGAAACATGCTGACATCGTTCCTAGCAGTTCTTCTGAAACACTGAACACATTAGGATGAGAAAATGCATCCATGTTATTCTTCAAAAGGAATAAAAGAATCTGAGTTCTTTGAAATACAAAAGTCAATTTGGAATATTTTGGTGTTCATCTAAATACATATCTGGAGTAACATGTTTCCTTTGTTTAAATAAATTATTTTTTTCATTACCAAAACCCCATAAAATAATAATGCTGTGGCATTCTCTTGATTACAAAGCTATGTAAACTTCTTCCCAAAATGTATAATGGCCCCTTTTTTTGAGGCTCCAAGGTATTTTTAAAGCTTCAATGAAATCAAAATCCAACAGAAATATTTTTTTCTGTTTGATTGCAGCCAATAACCACATTGCAAAGTTGTGGCTGACTTGTAATTGGGGAACCTGCTGTGGTCCCACAGGCTTCTTTGTTTATACAAATACTCCAGTATATAAATACTCATTTATTTTATATATACATCCATGCACATTATGTTTAAGTGGAACGAGGATGCTAGCACTAACGAAGGTGTAAAAGGCACATTCTTTTCACACTGCAACTTGCAGTATGTAGATTTAATATATGATGTTTAGTTTAGTGATATAACCCACTGACTATTTTGTTGATTTTGGTAGAGTAATGCCTAGAAAATGGATGCCTCAGCTGCCAGCATCCACTTCATAGGGTGATACATGTTTGAAAGTAAATAAAAGAATCAAGACAGCATGTAACTGTACCGCTGGAGCTGTAAAGAAAAACTTATGGAAGCAAACTAATAACGCTAAAATTTATGCTACATGGCTGATTTTCTAAAAGTTGTTATTCCCAAATGGCATCGTGGTATATTTCACTGCAAATTTCTTGGTAGTCCTTGACTAGGAGCACAAATGAGGAAACATATTTTTTTGCTGTATATGAATGTGGTTCGTGTATCTACAGTGAAGGGTAACTTAAAACTTCTACCTTCATGGTTCCCAGTAAGGCTTTATGCCTCACCCTTCATCACTCCAGAAAGCTGAAGACTTGGGAAGTGGAAGGCTGCAACACTGTACTCGGGCATTACGGTGCCATGCGTTTGTGTGAGTCTGATGATAGTGCCATTTTGCAATTAACTGTGAATCTGCAGGTTGTGCTTTAGAGTCGTCCAGTCCTTCACATTCTGAGCCACAGATGGTATTGGACCATAAGAACTTTTACAAACAGCTAGTGTTCAAAATGTTATGGTTCAAGTAGGAGAGCATCTGAAGAGAAATGGAAATTGACCTGAAAACAAAATCTGTAAAACATGATCATACCTGGCTCGGGTAGTTATTATGCCGAAAAACCTCATATAGCATTTTAACCATTTAAAGATAAAAGCTTGATTATATTTGAGTTTGATTTTCCTAAATTATAAGGTTGCTTCAGTTCTTCTGCTTTACTAACAGACATTAAAATGTATTTTTATTCTCTTTTTTTTTTTTTTTCTGGAAATCCATCTTTGAACTGCAATTTATTAATTTCCATTCAAGTTCTTAATCTATGCTTTTTTCTTCTGTGGTTAGATAAATGTGGAGAGTCAAATAATAACTCCAGGCTCCAATTTTGCACCTCTTAGAGAAAACGTTTAAGAGAATTTTGCAGAGTCATACTCCAAATTCTTGTATTCAATCCTTTCTTTCTTTGTAGAGAGGAAGCTACAGTCTGAATTACACTATTACACTGTCTCTAATACCAAGCTCATCATTATTTCAAGGTCCATCAACAACCATATAATAGAATAACAATAATAAAAATTGTTATTATTTCCTGAAAATATGTTAACTTTAAAACAGTAATTTTAATTTTTTTCCTACTCTTCTAGAAATGGCAATTAAAATATATCTTTAAGCAAAGAAAAAATATTGATAGACGTTATGAGAGAAAACACCACTAAAATATGACCCAGAAGTGTCTGCTTGGAGAAGTGTTTCCATCATCCACTCAAATCCAACTCTTAGTGCAGGGGCCAAATTTAGCCTCTAGACTTGCAGGCTGGCTGATTGCAAGAAAGAGAATAATTCAAAAAGTGCTCTCTCCCCACTGATTACAGAGAAAGCTTAGGTTAGTAACAGGTTTTTAGGCACTTCAGTAAAGGTACTTAATGGAAGGTAGAATGAATCAGCACCTCAGTTTTCTGAAACTGGAATCACAAGGAAACCCAGACGCCTAGGACTTAGTGACTGGCTGTCTAATGCCAGCCAGCTCAGAAACACTGGAAGGGGAGAAAAGTGGGAAATCATGCAGCTCTTTTAAACTGGAAATTGGAGACACCCTTATTCATTCATAGCAGGTACTGCTGGATCCTTCCTGGAGATAAATATGAACATTTGTTGTCTCAAAACCATTGCAGGTTCATTCATTTTCCATAAAGTGTGATTTTAGCCATATATTGTAATGTAGCAATTACATGACTTGGTTAACATTTGGATTTGGTGTTCATTTCTCTTTCCTGCCTGAGGGGGATACAAACCCTTACATTCCTTTTCTCAGAGTAGTGCCCTACCACTGTGGGAACAATTTTAAGGCAGTCTGTAGAAGCTAGTGCATTGCACTGGAAACACAAAGCAAAATCAGACCCACCTGGTCAGAAGGACTACATTTAAAAAAAGGTGTAATTCTCCAACTTAAAAGTGAGGACAGTCTCTAAGGAGGAACGTCTTGAATTTTCCCTGGAAAAATCCTTCATTTGACAAGTGACAATAATTGAAAAACATATCAAAACATTTCTAAGAAATTTATGGGTGAGTTCCCTTATGCCTGTGGCAAATCATGTTTTTCTTTGTCCACTTGAATTTTTGTGTGACCTAGTTTCTACAGGAAGCTGAAGTGGGAGTTGAACTTACTGTGGCTAGATGAGCAGTTTAAGGGCTACTCATTTTATTAAACTGAAATAGAGTGTGTGCCTGATTTTTATAAAAAAGCTCTGTCCAAAAATGTTGTCACTTCAAATTGCTTCATGTTAACAGTGGAAAGTCTTTTAAACTTAGGGTAGCTGTGGGGTTTTCAGATTCTAGAAACTGAAGTTTTCAAAATGAACTCCCTCAATTTAATCTTTTATTGAAAAATTTTAAAACTCGTATCTGGAATTTGCAAATGTATTCCAAGTGATACAAACTTTGATAAAGGATTATAAGCCCATTAGAGCATTTTTGCTTTCTGGACTTGAGCAAGAGTCTCAACATACAACTGCTATACTGAGTCCCTCCAGTATTCAATATCTAGCTCAATATCCTGTCTCCTGTGATGGCCAATAGCAGATGCCTAGGATAAGAGCATAAGGAAAGTGTAAAGAGTATCCTTTCTCAAGGTCTACGTGTAAGTAGATGGTGGTGGTAATCATCAGTCTGAGGTTTTGTAAGTTTATCGTAAGGAGGGATAGAACAGATTGGAAATGTAGCAATGCAGTAATGAGTTTGATCTGTCCTGGTATAAATCTGTGCAACAGAGTGGCTTGACAGGTGTCATTTGTGAGAAGTGTGTTCTGGCTTGTAAACTGGGGAGGCTGCTGTTTAGCTCGCTCATTGCTGAGATTGTGTTTTCTTTGTTCAATAACTGTTTGTTAAAGATATCTAAGTAGGTGCTTGTGATTCTTCAGTAAAACAACAGAAACCTGCCCAGCCTGAGTGTGTGGTTTGATGTGTTTTGCAAACATGGGCACTGTAAGTTCACACAGCTGTAAAACTTGAGAATATCCTCCTGTGGCCTCCCACGCTCACAGATAGTTACCTTAGATCTCTTCGAGGGGTAGGGGCCACCACCGAAGGAAGGTGGGCATGTCACTGAGTGGGATTTATTGAAATCAGGGCAGACATTCATAGATTTTTATTTTTCCAGTGCCTGCAATCTTGAAGTGCAAGATGCTGTTCATAAACCCCACTGCTGTTGAAGCCAGAAAGGATTCCTATAACTCAGCCAGATCCACTACTTTTGTTTTGGTTTTTTTGTTGTTTTTTAAATGAAAAAGCAGAGGCTTTTCAAAACTAATATTTGAAAGGAAGTCAGGGAGGGAACAAGAAAAGTGATTAAATATTTGATTTTCAAAGGCAGCTGTGTAGAATATACAAAATATTTAATAAATGAAAAAATTCAAACTTCACAATGAAACGAATTTCTGTTTTCCTGAGGTTTGTTTATATCATTTCGATGTAAATTTTAAGGACATAAATCCTCACGCTGCTGTTCATCCAAGTACTAACACACATGTTAATGTTTAAAAGTGTTTTAAGTCTGGTTGAAGTTAATGGTATGAGTTGAAGAGTTTTGCTGAATTGGGAATCAAGTGTTGAGTTGTCATGAAGGGACAATATTAATTTTGTTTCTTCTTAAATATGGTCATGTTGTCATGTCATGTGAATTCTTATTCTTACCAGTGTGTTGGTTTTGGTATCCATTGGGATTCATGGATGAGTATTGTAAAGACCTGGTAACATAAGATTAAGAAAAAGAACAGGGTTTCTGGGATTTTTATCTAGAAATAAGTTTGTTCCCTCTTGGGTAAAGGCATAAGGGAATCAAGTAACTTTGGGAAAACACATAGCGCGGAAGAGAATATCTTAAACATTATTTTGGAAATACAGCATTCAGGAAACAGGCATAAAGGTGGTTACTCCGGGTAAGTGTGCTATCCAGAGCAGATATTTTTGTTGTAAAATTTAAAGTAACGAATTGCCTTAAAAGCAGACACTAACATCACCGACTGAGGAAGTTGAAGCTCCTGTTCTGTTAAAACTCCATTTCTCTTCAGAAAATTACTCTAAATAAATTCCTTGTCTAATTTTAACAGATGTTATCACAGGGAACTGTTCTCCTGAGAATTGGCTTTATCATTCTGTCCTTGACCTCTTTCGGACTGCTTATGGAGAACAGGTAAGATACAAAACATGCTTTTCTTTTTTTCTCTCATTATGCATTATTTATCGTTACATGGCAATCTCAAGTGTGTCAGAAACTATATTGATAAAGAAATATAGATACACTCGGACACATATGTTGTTGTCTGTTGACTAGAAAATAACACATAACTAGCCAGCACTTAAACCCAGGAGTGTTCCCATAGCAATAAGTGGCTATATCAATGTTGTGCCTTGCAGAAAAATTATGGGATGGGCTACTTATGTCACCCTCTGTGCTTGCATTTGTTGGGTCCACATCTCTGGATTTGGGATGCTGGCAGGCCAGTGAGACCTGCAGGCTGTCCCAAGGCCATTCAAGCTCAGACTGCAACCATATTGTGCCAGTCCTGTGTAGCATGCCACAGGTGTCAGATACAGTGATGGTACAGGAAAAGCACTCAGTGTAGCTCAGAGTAGACTCAAAATCACGTGAAGGATGTTGTAAGCTTAAGACTAAATTTAATCAGTATGGATTCAAATCATATTGGATCTTGAATACACCAGCCCACTGAGGCATACACTATGGAAGTAGTCCATACAGGCACCGTGACCCTACAGAAGAGTAAATAGCAGCTACGGTTTCTTACAAAGAAACTATTTGCCTGCCAGAGCAGAAATCTGGAATAGAAGCTTCCTTTGAGATTGAGGTGCCACTTCGGCTTTGCACCTGCTGTTCATTATGTTTTCAGAAAGGAATACCTTTCACTTGTATGGACTGAACAACTTATTTCAGGACAGGTAAAAATCTGTCAGTATGCCAGAGAGGTATAACTTAGCGAGTTAATAATGTGCATTAGTAAAAATTTACTAATTTACTAAAAGTAGACCAATGAAAAGATTCTGAACTACTCATGTAGCAGTTTTCAGAATTTTGCTGTTGTTATTTTTGAGGTCAAAAGATAATAGCTATATATACAGCTACATTTGTGTTAGCTCATATATAGTTTGTGAGTATGTGTATTCTCCGCCCCCCCGGCCAGGAAGTTCAGTGTTATAGGTCCATGTAAGGTGTATACTATAAAAACTTAACTATAAGGTTGAGAAAGATGACTTGATGTAAGTACAGGACATCACAAACTGTTTCTACATTCTCTTTTTCACCGAAGTTAACAAAGAAGAAAAAATTGGATGTTAATCTGAATTACTTCCTGTTTCTAGGCCCAAAGCAGGAATTTTGGAAATCATCCGCTGCTTAGTCTTCGTAGGTGTGTACAAACATGGTTACTTAAGGAGTCAGTTTTCTTCCTTGGGCTATGCATATGAGGTAAGGCACTTATTTTGAAATATCAGCGCTGATGACTCTAGATTTTTTATCTCTTTAGTAAAAGAGGAAACACTAAACATTTATATTTTGCTTCCTTTTTTAACATTATACTATTTGAGTAGAATATTGGTTTTTTTTCTTTTTTTATCTCTTTATTTCTCACTTTTTATGATTAACTTGTAAGAAAATTATTGGCATTTGCTCCCAATTCCAATTTCCATTGAAAAAAAAAGTCAGGAAAGTGTATATTTAACATTTCTTGCAAAAATAATATATCAGTGGCCATATGCTTTGAAGTAAATAACAGAAATGTGTTGCTGAATTTGAATTGATTAAGTCACCTTTCATGAGAGAATTCTGAAAATGCTTGGAGGCTGGAGGAGTCTTAAATATAAAATATTTTGTTCTGTACTTATACCTCAGAAGCAGACTTTTAGCCATTGACAAAGATAGGATACTGGACTAAATAGACCTTTGGTCTGATCAAGTATGGTTGCTTTTGTGTTCTTAGGACTTATTTTTACCCTGTTTGTGATTTTTGCTTTTTAATCTACCTTTTTCTTTTTTCAGTGCAGTTGGTATTTCATAATAACTCTTTTAATATTATCTGAATTAAATAACACTGAATTATTAATATGATTCTGATATGAATAACATTCACAAGCTACCTAGTGCTGGTTACCAGCAAAGACAGTTATCAGCAAGGTTATGAACAGGTTGCTAGACTAGTAGAACTGTTATCAGAAAGTTACCTTTTGGCTTAAAACCAGAAAAAATGAAATAAAACAGTAGGGATTGAGACTTAACCAAGTTCGAAATGGTTCCTTTCTTTTGAAACATCTGCAAAATTTATAGCAACTTTCCTAATTGGAGGTTTCTGGTAGGGGTGCTGATTCTCCTGCTTTTCTGAGAGATCAGGCAATAGCAGAATGGAAAAATATCTTATGCTGCTGTGGGTCTTTTTTTTTTTTTTTTCTTTTTTGCCTTGGATAGGAAACAATAAGTATTGGACAATATTAAAAGCTAGATAAATACCACTAATCAAGAATTGTTTTAATTTTTTTCCCATATTGTTACATTGTCAAACCTTTGGTTTATAAATCAAACAGTTCTTGAATTCCTTTGAGAAGTCTGCCAGAACTCAGCAGATATTTGAAGGATTTTACTTGTATAAATATCATTTGGAAAATGTTTTTATTATTTACTGAGTAACCCACTACAGTAGATAGGCTTGAAGCAAAAAATTCTAAAATTTGGCAATTAATTCTATAGCCCTTGAGATATAGCTCTCAGACTTGAATTATTTGGGTATTCTAACTGAATTTGGGGAGAATTATATGTCAAAATATACACTCCCACTTAAAAAAACCCAAAAACATGTGCTTGCCTTGCTGAGCTCTGTGTGTGTGCACATATGTAAAAGCGTCTCTTACTAAGAAACGAGTGGAAGTAAAATTACCAGATTGTTATTTCTATTGTTTGTAGGGAACTATACAGTTTCCTACTCTTTCATGAAGAAGGACACAAAATGGAATAGTTCTTATTCTGTTCTTTACATGTATCTGTCATTAAAATTTTAACTTTATTCCCATCCTGAGTTCTTCCCTACTGTACTTTCCTATCCCTTCTTCTGTCTAATGTTTTTCCATTTATCCTTTATATTATACTTCTCTGTTACTCCTTTTTTAGTCTCTTGTTTGGCACTAAGTAGTCCATTTTTAACAAGAAACAGGAGTACCTTGCTCATATTTTTTTCTTTGAAAATACTGAAAGAACAGGTGTCTGTCTTATAAATTGCTTGCTCTCAGTGAGAGCAGAAGAGATAATGCTTCTGCGTAATGCCAATATGTCACCACTAGAGACTTACATTTTATCATAAATCAACAAGTTTGTGATATTAATAGCTTTTGTGATCATAGAATAACAAAATAGTTTGGGTTGGAAGGGACCTTTAAAGGTCATCTAGTCCAACCCCCCTGCAATGAGCAGGGACATCTTCAACTAGATCAGGTTGCTCAGAGCCCTGTCCAATCTGACCTTGAATGTTTCCAGGGATGGGGCATCTACCACCTCTCTGGGCAACCTGTTCCAGTGTTTCACCAACCTCATCGTAAAAAATTTCTTTCTTATATTTAGTCTAAATGTTTGTGATAAACTTCAGAGAGTCCCCCTTTTTGACATAAATGATCCACTTTTACTCTCAATGAATTATACAGTTTCTGGATTCATTGTAGAAATGTTCTTATAGGTGGTAATATTGTTATAATGGGACTTAAGATCAAAAAATTCTAAGCAAAGGGAAACTGCCAGAGATTTGTCAATTTGTGTTGAAAAGTCTTCAAATTTTAATATTTTAGCTCAATATTGACCGCATCATTTTGAACCAACAGTACCAGAAAGCATAATAAATAAACAAACAAATAAATAAAAGGTTTTCTCAGAAATTAGGTCAAAAATTTGTCCTAAGAATTGTTTCTGTTCAACATCCAAACAGGTTATCTATCCTTCATAATACCTGTATTTCATAGTACAATAGTGTTGATAAGTTTGAATATCTTGTGAGACTTATAAACATAGATCTAGCTTATAAGCAATTTTTAAAATTTCTGCTACATATGTCCTAGTAATTTTTATCTGCTTGCTTTTCAACTTCCTTTGCTCTGTTTCATTTTCAAATCCACTTACAATTTTTGAGAGGTGTAAATGAAAACATTTATTTAATCTTTTTGTTTGCCTCATGTAAATATTCCATCTTTAACATGCACCTAGATTTAGCTGACTTTGATCTTTTTAATGTTACTTTTCTAGTACTCATAATCTGCAATATACTTAAATAACGTCCTCCTTACATCATCATCCTTATATGTTACCAAATAAACAATTTTTTAGTAAGCCAGTATTCACGAGCAATAGGAATGAATGCATGACATCATGTAAAAGAATTTCTCTCGACTTTTTTTTCTTTGGTCTATAAATTATGCCTTTCAGGGCACTTACTTAGGGATGAAGAAAAATGAACTGTAGGAGGCATGATGGCACTACTCAGTGTGTCTAGAATTTAACAAATAATTCTTAAGTTAATGGTGCACATTGCAGCAGATAAGTGCAAGACTGATCTTGCCAACAGCATGTTGAATCATTAGTGAAAAAGTATGTGACTTCTGTCTATACATGTTGCTTTTTTCTGTGACTATATTTCATATGTTCATATTTCTCATGAATATTTTAGAACCAGTAGGTAAGATTTCAGAAGTAAATATCCTTGCAGTACTATTTGCAGGTACTCTAAGTAGCAAAAATAGGTGATTTAAATTGCAAATGATTGCATTTGGCTCATAAGAAGGTGTGACAATTATCAGAACTTCTACATGGGAGGAAGGCCTTCTGGGTGAAAACTAGAAGGAAAATACAGATGAAATGAGAGAAAACTAGAGGAGCAGTGAGAGAAGAGAAAAGAGTAGAGGAAACAAAGAGCCAGGCTTTCCCATTTTGCCATTAAAGTAGCTCAGGTGGGTGTGAAAAAAGCAGCTAAGGACTGCAATTCCAGCAGGAGGAGCAGTCCTGCCCTCTGGCTCCAGCCTCTAACTCTCCCTGCCCAGCTAATTGGGTTGGCCAGCTGGTCTGACTTATGCAGCCAAAGATTGTTCTTCAGGTAAGTGATGCAACTTGCTGTGGAGCAAGAAAGATTCCTAATGCTGAGGCTCAGGGAGGGTGGAAGTAAAATGAAGCTAGAGGTGTGCAAGAAAGACTTCTGCTTTTGCTGAAGCTACACTCTTAATATGGTTGTTAACTGTGTCCACAGTCTAGTAAGCACAGCATTGGATCTATTGATACTTTAAAGTTGTATGTTACCAGCCTTGATTCCTTGTGAAAATTATGTTATTTTTCTGATCATTTAAAGATATTGTTCTCCCTACTATTGTTTTTGAAGTCCTTCCAAGATATACTCCTGGGGGATCTCTCCCGGTGTCCTTTCCTTCTCCAAATAAGACAATAATTGGAAGTCATCAGACTTAGAAAAGTGATATTTTTTTTTCTTATGGGAGGTAGAACAATGAACGTTTCTCAGCATGCGCTTTCTGTTCATTGTGCTGTATGTATTTCATATGGGTGGATAGGTGAAAGAAGCAGGGTTTGTTTTGTGCTTTTTTTGTTTTTAAGAAAAAAGGCGGTGATGTTTGAGGAAATTTTTAAATCTTAAGAAAATTGTTTCTTGGATGGAGGTCACTGAAAACCTTGATGATAGAGCACAGATATATTTGACTGGTTATAGACAGTAAACTGAGGAGCTAATGTGTTTCTGCTTGAAGATCTGTGCTGCCACATCCTATGCTAGTTAGTTTCCTTTAGGCTGATTACTTCATGCCTGTGTAATGTGATGATCATGTGTATTACTGAAGCCAAATCATTTTCTGTCAGCCTCGGCCTGGAGTCTCCTAACAACCTGGAGGTAGCAGAAAACATTGCTTGTGTGTTCAGTTATGCGACAGTTCAGCAGGCACGATATGTAAAAATAAATCTGTGATGATGGTGCACCTCTTCAAAGTGTTTCCATCCAACTGCTCTGGTTTGGCATCGGCCAGCATATTCCATGAGCTGATTTTGGTCAAGCGCTGGCTGTTATTTGACAGTAGTACTAATGAGGAGCAAGTAGAAATGAGAGCCATTGACATGTTGTTGGAACTCTTGTCTTAAATATTTTCACCAACTCTCATAGTGGCTGCAACTCAGTATTGAGAAAGACTCTTAAACTAAGGGCCTAGGAGTGAGGAAGCTGGAGGAGGAAATACAGGTGTCTAACTTGACGTGCTTGTTTGCCTTTTATCTTTGTTTCAGCTAAGGCATTGTATCTGGGAGTAAATCTCTTCATCCAGACTCCTCCCGCACTGCAGCTTCCTGGGCTGCCGGGCTATGAAAGCATTGGCAGGCAGTATTAATTTACAGGTAGGAAGGACAACAGTCTAGCAAAACTTTCACTGGGGAAAAGAGAGAAGAAGAGA